GGGAATTCTCGTTTCTGAGCTTCAGTGATTCCTTGAAACGGGTCACACAGAATTAGGCAAAATTGTGCATCTCAAAATAAGGGATGTTCCTCATTGTATAGAAGAAGAAACAGAAGCTCAGAGAAGACCTCTGACAGGAAGCAAGTTCTGAAGGAGGTGCTGGACACTAAAGGGCGGGACCCCCAAGTTGGGAGAGAAAGAGTTATCCTCAGAGCTCACCTACAGTGTGCCCCTGTGGGGACCCCTCCGTTAAAGCTGGGTGAGGGGCCCTACTCTCCTGGGTGACAGATGGGGCCCCATGCCCGGTCAAGGCCACACACCCAGGAGGAACCCCAGACAAGGGAACCCCAGGCAAGGCCCTGCTACACTTGGTGCCTTGGTTTCCCCTTCTGAAGCCTGAGGGATGCTGTGGCCTCCCTGAACTTAGACGTACAGGAAATCTAGCCGGGGCGGCTGACACACGTGCCCTAGATTCTTGGAAGGCTCAGGAAGTCGGAAGCTCCAGGCCTAGGGTGAGGTGCCAGGCTTGGGTGGAACCCCTGGCATACAGCCCTCCGCCCCCAGGGACTGAGGGATGGCAGAGCCCCCCCCGCGGGCCCCTCCTTACTATCAAAGTAGCTGGTATCATCCTCGGCCTCAAGCTGGGGCACGAACTCGGCTTTGTGTCGAAGAAGCCCCGCCCAGTCCAGGCCCAGGAAAAACGGGTGCTGCTTCACCTCGTGGGTGCCACCTGCAGATATGCCCGGCTGAGCCCCGCGGGTCCTCACCTCACCCGCCACACGATGCCCTCCACCCCCATCCCCACCCCCCACTGCTCATGCTGGACACAGGGTGGGGACAACACAGAACCAGAAAAATGGGCCGGGCGCGGTGGCTCACGCCTGTAATCCCAGCACTTCGGGAGGCTGAGGTGGACAGATCACTTGAGGTCAGGAGTTCGAGACCAGCCTGGCCAACATGGAGAAACCCCGTCTCTACTACTAAAAATATAAAATACAAAAATTAGCCGGGTATGGTGGTGCATGCCTGTCATCCCAGCTACTAGGCATGCTGAGGCGGGAGAATCACCTGAATCTGGGAGGCGGAGATTGCAGTGAGCCAAGATTGCACCACTGCACTCCAGTCTGGGCAACAGAACAAGATTTTGTCTCAAAAACAAAACATCGACAAGAAAACAGGAAAATGGGAACAAAATCCACTGAAATTTAGGAGCCTGGAGAGAGACCAAGCTGGGATTCAAACCCATGCCAGCACTTTGGGAGGTTGAGGTGGGCAGATCACTTGAGGTCGGGAGTTCAAGACCAGCCTGGGCAACATGGCGAATTCCTGTCTGGATGACAGACAGGGCCGGATACCCAGGAGGCCAACCAAAAATACAAAAATTAGCCAGGCATGATGGCACATGCCTGCGGGTCCTACTCGGGAGGCTGAGGTGGGAGGATCGCTTGAGCCTGGGAAGCGGAGGCTGCAGTGGGCCAAGTTGTGCCACTGCACTCCAACCTGGGTGACAGTGTGAGATCTAATCTCAGAAAAAAATAAAAAATCAAAAAGCACTAAGGCTGCCCAGGTTCCGAAGATTCTGGCCTTCTCTCTGCTGCCGTCTGGGACGGCACCGCCTAGAGAAAGCCCAGATTATAAGGTTCTCCTTCCTGGCTTCTCCCTCTTGTAAACAGCTCCAAGGAGAAGGTAACAATCCACGAACTATCACAAGACCATCACCAGGGCAAAGGCTCAGTCATGAACAGGAGCCGTAGTGGCCATGTGATGGGTGGCTGCATGAGTCTCAAAAAGTCCCTTAATGATTCACCAGGTGGCTGGGAAAACTGGGACAGTAGGATCTTCCAGGCTGGGCCTTTGACACAGGTCCTGGTGACTTCACAGCCTCATATACTTATTCAGGCTCAGTGCTCGGTGTGGGCACCAGACCCAGCTACTTTCTATTCTCTCAAGGTCTTGTGATGGTTCCTGGAGAACTCCTATGCATCCTTCAAAACCCCAGCTGCAAGCCCCCTCCTCCATGCAGCTTCCCAGGTAGAACTCTTATATACCCCAGGTGCTATCCCTCCTCCTGTTTCCTGGGTCCCAGGGCCTGAGGGAGCCACCCATCTGGGTCCCCTTCCACACTACATACCAGTGCCCAGACGGTCCAGTGGGCTCTGCCGGAGCAACCTGGTGATGAGGTCCTGGGCGTCAGCTGGAAGGGCCTCGTCCCCATCTGGCCACATGATCTCATCTAAAATGAGGGAGGAAGGAGGAGGCAGGGGTACCCCTTTCTAGTACCATCCACTACTTCCCCTCACTTCACTGTATTCCTAGCCAGTGACCTCCTCTGCCCCTTCAACATGCCAGGCTCGGGACCCGCTCCCAGGCTTCGCCACGGCTGTGCCCTGTGCTCACAGCATCTTCCGCTTTTCTGTCTCTACGGCTCCCTTTCATTCTGAGGTTCTTGCAGGTCTCTGCCCACATGTCACTTCTTTTATTTTTTGAGACAGTCTTGCTCTGTCACCCAGGCTGGAGTGCAGTGGCGGGATCTCAGTTCACTGCAACCTCCGCCTCCCGGGTTCAAGCAATTCTCCTTCCGCAGCCTCCCAAGTAGCTGGGATTACAGGTGCACACCACCACGCCCGGCTAATTTTTGTATTTTTATGTATTTATTTTTTGTGACAGAGTCTTGCTCTGTCACCCATGCTGGAGTGCAGTTACGTTATCTCGGTTGACTGCAACCTCCGCCTCCCGGGTTCAAGAGATCCATCCTTCTGCCTCAGCCTCCCAAGCAGTTGGGACTACAGGTGTGTGCCACCACGCCCAACTAAATTAGTTTTTGAAATTTTTAGTAAAGACGGGATTCACTATGTTGGCCAGGATGGTCTCAATCTCTTGACCTAGTGATCTGCCCGCCCCGGCCTCCCAAAGTGCTGGGATTACAGGCGTGAGCTACCGCGCCAGGCTAATTTTTGTATTTTCAGTCGAGATCGGGTTTCGCCATGTTGTCCAGGCTGGTCTCGATCTCCTGGCGTTATACGATCTTCCTGCCTCGGCCTCCCAAAGTGCTGGAATTACAGGTGTGAGCCACCATGCCCAGCCTCATGTCACTTCAGCGAAGCCTCTGTGACCCTATAATTAATCCAGCCACCCACCCCTCAGCACCCCACCGCCTCCCCACTGGACAGCCAACTCCCTCCCCTCGTCCTGCTTCTCCCCCAGACATCCGGGTGGGGGATCGCTGCCCAGAGCTCGGTGGGGCTGCAGCTCAACCCAGGCCCGTGGAGGGAACGCACCGCTGACCACCTGACCGAAGAGTTCCTCGGGGGTGTCTCCGAAGAAAGGCACGCAGCCCACCAGAAACTCATAGAGAACGACGCCCATGGCCCACCAGTCCACTGGCTTCCCGTAGCCCTGGCGGAAAATCACCTCGGGCGCGATGTATTCCGGCGTCCCACACACCTGGACCCAGGCAGAACGGGGAAACTGAGGCCCGTCCCCAGCCCAAGAGAGGCCCCGGGAGAGAGGAGGTGGCGTCCCAGGGCCACCCGCCCACCTGGCCGCCCACCTGCTTGTCAATGAACTCCCGAGCGTCCTTCTCGATGTGGCCTTCGTAGAGGTTGGTGGCCATGCTCATCAGGCCGATTTTGGACAGGCCGAAGTCCGTGAGCTTGATGTGGCCGAGTGAGGTGATGAGCAGGCTGTGGGCAGGCGAGGGGGTGCTCAGGGCTGGGGGGCCAGGGTGCCTGGCTGCTCCTTCTGCCCCAGACCTTGGCTCCACCTGACACGGGCAGAGCTCTGCCTCCAACTCCTGGGTCCAAGGGATCCTCCTGCCTCAGCCTCCCGAGTAGCTGGGACTTGGGACTATGGGGCACACTACCA